GGGAGGCAGGATGATTTTCAAGGTGCAACTGTTCCACCTCAGATCATCAGGCATTGGTTAGATTCTCATAAGGAACGTACAACCTAGGTGCTTTGCATCCACAGCTGCTCCCCTCCTGCTACATACCCTTCCACTAGTACATACAAAACATACTACACCTCCTGGAGTACATACTGTTAAAACGCGCCCTCTGAATGAAAAGCCCCCAAACAGGCTTTGTGTGAGCAACATGGCTGTTTATTCACCTGGGTGCAGTCAGGCTGAGTCTGAAGAGAGTCAGTGGAGGGTTGGTTTTATAGGTTTGAGGTAAGCAATGGAAAGTTACAGAAGTTACAGTTTAGGGAGGTTTTTGTAAGCTGGGAAAGGGTCTTATGTTTGCAAGTAGGATGGGGTTGTAGGGTCTGGAGTCATAAGGTTGACCAAGGTCGGTTACAAAGTCCAATGGCTTTATCAGTTGAGGCCAGAATAAGAAACAACAGAAGAATGTCTTAGGTTAGTTAGGTGCTACATGGGTTGATCTTTCTTCTGCGTTTCATGGTCTTCCAGTGAATTCAGGTTTTCTAATTCCGGAAGGCCCTCTAGAGGTGTACATGCAGGTCACGGGGATCACCGGAGCATCCATGGTGCCGTCAGTCAGCCTGAAAGACCTTACACATATAAAATAGTTTTAGAATTACATCAGTTTTGGGATTTCTTTGCACTTCATTTTGTCCTTAGAATATATCTCAGTAAGGGTATATGGACAGATTACTATATTCAGAAGTTATTTTCTATTTTCTGTGTGTTTATCAATTTGATACACAACTAGGTTCATTTGTTTTTATTTGACTCTATTTTTGAGGTGTACTTCTTTTTCTGTTTTTAAATTTATTTATTTTTAAGACGGGGTTTTACCATGTTGGTCAGGCTGGTCTTGAACTCCCGACCTCAGGTGATCCACCTGCTTTGGCCTCCAAAGTGCTTGGATTACAGGCGTGAGCCACCACGCCCAGCCCTGTTTTTAAATTTAACTTTGTGTAAAACATTTACGTGGTTCAAATGTCAAAACTATATATAAAAAAATATTCTTAGGAAGTCTATCTTTTTCCCTTTCATCCATCTCCAGTAGGTAACTATCTTCATGAGTTTCTGGTTTTTTTCTTTTTCTTTTTTGCAAAAAATAAATAAATAGATATTTGCATATGACAGGTACCCTACACAGACTTTTTCTGCCATTGTGGCATAAAAGCAGCCACAGACAGTTTGCAAACAAATGAGCTTGCATTATTTGCAAAGACAGAAGTTGGGCCAGATTTGGCCTGCAGGAGTTGTTTGCTGCTGACTGTAAGATGTAGATATATTCTCATACAAAAGCATGTATATAGTGTACTCTCAAAAAAAAAAGTGATACTAACGTATATAGTAAGGCAAACTTTTTTCAAGACCATTGTGATAGGTAGAGGGGTTGTGGCAATGGGATTTTGCAATGGAGTAGAGAAATTGAGTTTAACTCCAAACACAGCATGGGCAAGTGGGAATTTGCAGCCAAGGAGCAGGTTGGAGGGTCAGTGGATGGAAAATTTCTAAGAGGAAACATGAAGGGTTCAGGGGGGTTCTGACTAAATCAACCTAACATGATTCTTTAAAAAAAAAAAAAGACGGGGTTTCATCATGTTGGTCAGGCCGGTCTTGAACTCACAACCTCGGGTGATCCACCCACCTTGGTCTCCAAAGTGCTTGGATTACAGGCGCTAGCCACCATGCCCCCAACATGATTCTTAGTGAAGATATGCCAGGGTAATCCAACATCACCAGGGATGGTGGAGGATCAGGAACCTGACCAGATACGCAGGTGATCAGATTGGGGGATTCTTACTGAACTGAATTAGCAAGATTCTTTGTTAAAACTTGATTTTACAAGTAACTGTACAGATGGGCCTAGGAGAAGGTTCAGGAGCATAAGTCTTTGCCATATATTAGTTGGTACCTTGCTTTTGTTTCCCTAACAAGTATATCCTGGAAATTACTGCCTCTTCCTCTTAGTTCCTAAATAGCATCACCCCTCCACCCCTTTAAGAATTTCTTTAGAGACAGGGTCTTACTCTGTTCCCCAGGCTGGAGTGCAATGGTGTGATCATAGTTTACTGCAGCTTCAAGTAGCTAGGACCACAGATATCTGGCTCTTTTTTTTTTTTTTTTTTTTAAGAGATTGGAACTCCTGGCCTTAAGCCGTCCTCCCACCTCAGCCTCCCAAAGTACTGGGATTATAGGTGTGAGCCACCACACTGAGCCCTTCCCCCTCTTTTTATGGGTGAAGAATATTCCATTATATAGATATATCCTAGTATATGTAACTGGGACCCTATAGATGAACATTTAGGTTGTTATCAGCATTTTACTAACATAAATAATACTGCAGTTAATAATCTTATGATTTTTTTATATGTGCAACCTATTATCTTATAAAAGTAACACTTTATCAAATTTAGAAAAACAATCCTGAAATGTATGGAGTTAAAACTGAAACTGTTGCATTATAGTCCTCCTCTCCCCCAAATTGCTAACAGTTGATCTGTGTGCTTCAGACCTTTCTTCTGTTGCAATTGGTGGTAGTTTTATTTTGTCATCCCATACTTAATTCTCGGGCTAATGTATTTTATAAAAATGTGATCATGCTACACGCATTATGACTTGATCTTTTTATTTTATATGGTTTTAAATACCCATCTATTGAGTTTCCTCATTCTTTTTTCTTCTTTAAAAAAATAAACTCAGCTTATTTTCCCAAGTCAACCTTATTCTTCTGATAGTTTGTAATATGAATGTACCATAATTAGCCATTTCTCATTTGATATTTAGACTGTTTTCAGTTTTTCAGTATGATAGACAACTACAGTTAATATCCTGGAACATGTCTTTGCATATGTACTAGTATTTCTCTAGAATAGATTCCAGAAGGTGAAATGGTTAAGTCATTGTCATTGATTTACACTTGTGCAATGTCTTCCTCACACCCTTGCCAATACCCAGTATTAGCAGTGTTTTTAACATTTGCCAATCTGTACATAGGCAACAATCTTGCATGTTCGCATGTACCCCAAAACTTAAAATGCAATAAAATATATTTTTTTAAAAATGTGCCAATCTGATGGATAAAAAAAGGATGTCACCTGATTGTTGTAATTTAGTATTTTTCTGTGTGCTACTGAGATTGTTAGTTCAGGTTTATTGGCCACTTTCTTTTTTTTTTTTAATGGTGCTTTTATTTACAAATATACTCATATCTGAACTTTGGCTGCTCAAACACCGGGATTAAATAGATTTGTGTAAATCTTTTGAAGAATCCTGAATGTATGTAGTCTTCCCATTTTCCTTCCAAAAGCAGTCTTTCGACTTTCCTTCCAAAATCAAATTGATTCAGATAAGAAAGTATCCTTCATTTCCTAACTTGCCATCCAAATTCTGGCTGTCCAAAATCAGGAACTAAAAAAATTCAGATCAAGAGGGATACTTATATTCTCATATGAATCTTTTGCTATATCCATTACCGATTCTCTCTTCTGGTGTATTTTTTATCTTGTTTATGTAAGTTTTATAAAATAAAAAGTTGTACATTTTTATGTTGAATATCTGTTGATGCTTGTCTCTATAAATTATAGGATTTTGCTTCACTTAGATTGTCTTTTACCACCTAAAATTTTTAAAAATCTATTTTAGCCATATATGGTAATTTTTAGATACATGAATTTATTTTTATGCATAATCAGTTTTGTCAATGTTTTTAATAATTCATACTTTGCATTAATCTTAAATATATCCTTTATCATAAATCAAATTCTTACATATATAAGGGTCTGTACCAGGATGTGTTCCTGCAGCAGTGCCATATTGTTTTAATGAATATTTCGATATCTAGATGGGAAATTTCCTTGTTCTCTTTCATATATTTATTTATTATTAATTCTTCCAGATACATTTTATTTTCATCTCCCCCACCCCCACCCCTACCCCCAGGTACATTTTAGAGGGGGAAAAAAAAAAAACCCTGACTTGTTCATTTATGCTTCTTCCAGCAGTGCATGAGAATGTGTGTAGGTCTAGGAAAGACTGGCTAGGAGTCTGGAAGCAAGGTTAAGACTTGGATAAACTAGAACAACTGAAGATAAGTAATCGGCCCCAACCTGAGAGAAATCCAATAGGTTTGCAACACTTTTGAGTGTGTTACCTAAGTGTTTGTTTAGTCAGCTCTTATTTACCTTCTTCTAGGTTTAACCCCCTCCAGTTCACCTTTTTAACCCCTTTCACAGTCATTTCCTGTAATTTCTTATCATATTTCCTATATACATCCTCTTCCCTCTTCCTGGCATTTCTGTCCATCCCTGTGGGCCCCATGGCCCAGTTTTCTACCTTGGGAGATCTGACTTGTTCCTAAAGACTCAGTTCAGATATTCCCTTTTCTGGGAGGTGTTTATACCTGCTAATGCTAAGAAGTAAGAATGTTGTTCTAACCTTTGTGCATTATTTATTTCAGCATTTTTACTATTATCAAACTTTTGGCTCAATCAGGACACATGATACATGATAAATGTTTGTTGAAAAAGAATATCTCTGCCTTCAGGGAGCTCACCAGAGAATAAAAAAAAGGCTTATGATAAAAGAAAAATAGATATGAAAGCAGACTCTGTGTGTGTGTGTGTGTGTGTGTGTGTGTGTGTGTGTGTGTGTGTCAATAACAGGAGAGCGCTTATGTAACTTTTCCCCCCTCCAAACTGATTAAGCTTTTGATTGTATTGCTTGCCCTATAAGCCTTAGATAATGTGCTTATACTCAAATTGTGACAATCATTTTGACCCAGGAAGGCATTCCAGATGGGGTGTGATACAGGCAAAGGTACAGGGATAGCACCAACTGGATCATTATCGTGGGAGTTTCAGAGTGAAGGATTTGGGAGTAGTCACTTCTGTAATGTGGAGTTGAGTTGTAAATGAACAGGTATTCTGAACCTTTTCTTTTTTTCTTAGTATTGGATGAACGAATATACCTCATCCATTGGAATTGGAGTTTTTCATTCAGGAATTGAAGTATATGGCAGAGGTATGTGTACACACAGTCTAAATATACTTTCTGAAGATTTTCTACTTGAAAGGAGTTGCAAAATCATAACTATAGTGCTTTCTCTTTTTTTAACCACTTCCATATGTTATTATAGAAAGTAGAAGAAAATCTCCCCATATTCATTTATACTGCGATTTGGAAAAATGCCCAAAGTAGAATGTATTTGGGGAGAAAGTACTCAAAATACAAGAGTATACATTCACTTCATTCACTTTCTTTTATTCTAAATACTATGTTTTTAAAAATATTTTCCTTTTGTGATTGTCATACAATGACAATTTGTTTTGCCCTCATATATATTGGAGCTCCTAAGAAACCTTGCACTTCGAAAATAGCATGATAAAAATAATAATTTTGGTTGGAAAGGTTGGTGCTAGAGAGTGTCAGATTCAAAATACCAGTTTCCTGAGGGAATTTCAGTAGTAAATTTGGTTTGTAGACCTATAGGTCTATAAAGTATGTAAGTTTATAAAGTCTGAAAACATTGCTGAGCAAATCCTGCCATTGATTACACCTAATCGTGCCCTTTGTCATTAACTCAGCCCTCTTCATTCTCTTTATTGTCCTTTATTAGGATAAACATGTCAGGAGTCCCTCAAACCAAGCAGCTGTGTTTTCAACAGTTTTTTTCCCTCTGTTCTAATGCCTACTCTTGATGCAAAATAATCTACTCCTGATCAAGTTGTAACTAACAGTAATGGTCTGCATAAGACAGATCACATTGCTGATTTCATTTAATCTATTATTTTGAATCATAAACTCACCCTATAGCAGAAATGCCATTGTTCACTTCAGCTAGGCAGTCTTTGTGACCTCTTAGAATATATTATTGCAGTTTACTCAGGGTTACCTCTGGACACTGTATGCCACTTTTAGCCAATAGAAAGAAAAGACATTTACTTAAATGTGTCAGTATGGTGGTTATACTGTCTCTTTTTTATATTCCATTTTACCTGCTTCCAGGTGCAGTTCAGCATATTAAATGTGGGCTATAAAAACATTTGCCATTTAAGCTCTATTTTACGTCTACCAAATAATCCCAAGAAACACTGAGGGGCTCCCGCTGAAAGTTTCACGATTGGGAGGTATTGCTATGGGTGGGATCATACTCTATGGGGTTACTCGTTTGGTTGATTTAGCTTTTGCCAAACTTGCATGTATATTTCTTGAATTTGTATCATGGCCATTTTTGAAGTGCCATCAGATTTTGAACCATGACCTGACCATGCTGTGTTAGTTAAAGGCATGTGCCATCGTCTCCATTTTCCAGCTGAGGAACCTGAGGCCTGAACCTGCTGAAAGTCATGCTAATAATTAACTAGGACTTGAACCCAAATGTTCTTCTATGCTAGTTCATTGCTCTATTGTCTGCCTAATCATTGCTTCCCTTCATAAAATGATTTAGTAATAATTAGAAACATGTTTCAAAACCTCTTCATGTAAATTTAGCAAAGCTGGAGTCAAACATTAATATATTCCTGAAAATTAGTGATTGCTTTTTAAATAAATGGGTGACTTTGCTTACTATAATTGAGAAAGAATCCAAATATAATCTTACCCTGTCCAACCTAATTATCTACAATATTTTGTAAAATTTTGTCATTAAAAAACTTTAAAAATTATATTTCAAAATAACCTCTTTATTTCTCAAACTACATTGTTGCTTTTTTCAGACAGGTCTGTTATTAAAAGTAAACGTAGTATTTGTCTGTTCTTTCCCATGCTTTGTTCCAAGACCTTTTAAGGTTATATTTTTAAAGTGATGAGGTTGATTTAAACATGTGTTTGGAATTCTTTATCCAAGTGTGATATCAGAAAATTATAGGAACTTTTGGTCTAAAATTATTCTCCATTTTGTTCTCCAGAGTTTGTATCTGATGATTTGGATATACAGTCAAAATAGTTTCTCCTAGCTAAAAGACTTGCTGTGGAGAATGTGGATGGGAGGGTGGATAGGTATGTGTGTTAATTTAGCAGTTTATTTTTTTTTCCTAAATGAGGAGAATTGAGTAGTGTTTTAGGTTTGGTAATGTTCCTTCCTACTCAAAGGTAAACCAAGAGTCTTTATCCCAGAAAATGTTACTAGATAGTTTCTCCAGTAAGGTATGCATTTGAAATGAGATCACTGTAATTTAGACAGCTGCAAAACACTGAACTGACCACCTCCCTAGATTGGCACGGTATAGATACGCTGCTAGAACTGTATGTACCTTTGCACGTTTGCCATTATTAGAAAGGTAAATATGGCAGTCAGAAATACTTTTGAGTGCCTTTGAGTGCCTTGTTAATTTGAGTTTTGGGTCTTTTGTGACAACTGTTTATACAAATAGTAGCTAAGTGAAATATTTATGAAAGCATTTTGTAAACTGAAAAATATTTTGATGGTATCACTGTTACCCTCAGTTATTACCGCTAATTCAGCATTCTGGTTAAATTTTATGTGAGAAATGCTAAAAATTATGAGTTTTCTCTTTTCAGAATTTGCTTATGGTGGCCATCCTTACCCCTTTTCTGGAATATTTGAAATTTCCCCAGGAAATGCTTCTGAACTAGGAGAAACATTTAAATTTAAGTAAGTAGGGAGGATAATTTTTATTACACTTACTGTCTAGGTGCCATAGCTTATTTTCAGGTGTACAGAATTCATTCTATAAATCAAAACAAACCCAAGAAGTTAAGAGTCTCTTTAACTTTGTTTTAATTGCTGACATTTTATATAACTCAGGTTTGCCTTAGGAAACTCATTTTTTTTTTTTTTTTTTTTTTGAGATGAAGTCTTGCTCTGTTTCCCAGGCATGCAGTGGCATGATCTCAGCTGGCTGCAGCCTTTGCCTCCCAGGTTCAAGCGATTCTCTTGCCTCAGCCTCCCAAGTAGCTTGGATTACAGGCATGTGCCACAATGCCTGGCTAATTTTTGTATTTTTAGTAGAGACAGAATTTCACCATGTTGGCCAGGCTGGTCTTGAACTCCTGACCTCAGGTGATCTGCCTGCCTGGGCCTCCCAAATTGCTGGCATTACAGGTGTAAGCCACTGTGCCCAGCCCAGGAAAATTCCTTTCTAATGATTCCTTCCCCTCAGTCTCCTGTTTGAAAGAAGAAAAGGTTTTATTGTTACCTACCTACCTAGCACATTAAAAATGTCTTTATTGTCCCAATGAAAGGGATACTTTAGCCTCGAATCCATTGTTAAGGTACATTGTATTACATGTAATGATAAACCTAAAAGATAAGGATATAAGTGTTCACTGGAGTCTTAGGAATAATAAAAAGCAGTGATACTATAAATGTTAATAATCATTCCTTAATTGCAGTTTGTATTTAAAGTGATATTTTGAATATTAGTTTCAAGGAGCTTTAAACTTCTGGGCCTATAATAGATGGCTTGCCAAGTGAAAAACAGTGAAATGAGGGTATAACATTCAACTTCAGTAGAGAGGTACACAGGAAGCCCTCTAAGTTCATAGTTCTCTGAGCCTATCACTGAATTGAAAGATGTACGCATATAAGTGCCATGATACCACCCTGAATCTACTCCTTTGGGTGCTCTTTTGGCAAGACTACTTGATACAAGGATTTTCTAAGTATTTTCAGCTTTCTTGGGTGCTTAAGTTTTATCTGACTAAAATTCCGCTTTCTCTTGAATAATGTCTGTCGCTTTTCCAATGTAGTAGTTTGGGGGTCATTCTTTTTATTTTTGTTTATCTTGAGATGGAGTCTCACTCTGTCATGCTGGCTGGAGTGCAATGGTGTGATCTTGGCTCACTGCAACCTCTGCCTCCTGGGTTCAAGCAATTCTCCTGCCTCAGCCTCCTGAGTAGCTGGGATTACAGGCATCTGTCGTCATGCCTGGCTAATTTTTGTAGAGATGGGGTTTTACCATGTTAGCCAGGCTGGTCTCGAACACCTGACCTCAGGTGATCCGCCCGCCTCGGCCTCCCAAAGTGCTGGAATTACAGGTGTGAGCCGCCACACCCTGCCAGACTCCTTCTTTTTAAAAAACGTTTAGTCAGTTTGTCTCATGGAGCACAGTGACAGATCAACTCAAAAGTTTGTTTCTACATGAGATCATGGCCAGTCCTTTAATAGCAAGTAAAATTATGCAGGAATATTTGCAGCATGAATCCAGTTCTCTAATAATATAGGAGTAATACAATATTGTGAAAATAATTACATTTTACATAATGACATATTGTTTCATAAAGAAAATGACTTATGCTTCTGTGGTATTCCTAGTGTTCTTAAGAGTATTGCAGAAAAGTAGAAACTAAAATAATTGAGACTTTCAAAGTATCTTGTTTCATTTTTGTTCTTACTATATTAACCCTGAGTTGTTATGTCAATTATAATATTCCTGGAAATTCCTGGAAATAAGCAAGTATTTAAACAGTCTTTTTGTAAATATTTGACACAACTATGTCCTTATTTTTCTTCCTTTTTTTTTTTCCTCTTTGTTCTTTAAGAGAAGCTGTCGTTTTAGGGAGCACGGACTTCCTAGAGGATGATATAGAAAAAATTGTAGAAGAACTGGGCAAAGAATACAAAGGCAATGCTTATCATTTAATGCATAAAAACTGCAATCATTTCTCTTCAGCTTTATCAGAGGTAAACTACGTTTCATCCTAAAATTTCTTCAAATAAATATTTGCTATCTCATTATTGTTGATTTCCCACACTATATTTGATCTTAATTCATTTTTCTGATTTTTTTGTGTTGTATGAAATATGGCATTGTGTTTCCATCTCTTGTATGAATGACCTTTCCAGAGTTGGTAAGTTGAGAGTCTGCACAGTTTTAAATGGTAATTCTATTCATTACTTTGCAGTGAATAGCGAGTGAGTACAAATAATGGTCCCTTTTATTCTAATTTATTTTATTACAACCTGAAACTTTAAGAAAATAAATGCTTAGAGACTTCTGCTTCTTAGCCACAAAGGTTTCTCGTTTGCTGAATTTTAGTTCTCAACCTGAATTTTTTTTCTGGCTCTTATTCATAAGTAATTCATCTCTTCCATCTTGAAATTTTATTCTGCTAACATATCACATAGGCACTTACTTGCCTTCTCAATTCTTGAATCCCAAGCAGGAGATCAAAATTAAAGAACCATAAAAAGAAAATGGAGGAAAGATGTTAAGAAGATTGTAAAATAAGGTCTAGAGAATTAAATAGCTCTTGAAACAGCTTCCCAGCTTTCTGATTCTTAGCAGATGGTGGCAGTGGCAGCATCTAGGTACCACAGAAATTGTGAAGGGTGTAAAGGAGAAAACGAGCTGCTATTTCAGTGACCTCCTCTGCAGAATTGCTTAGTTCTTGGCCCTTTTTACTTCCCTCATGGCTTCTACAATACAGTTTCAAACAAGACTCTCACAGTCTGCTATCATGCTACTCAAAGTGTATTTCGTGGACCAGCCGCATTAGCATCTCCAAGATATGTGTTGTTTCTGCCCCACCAGAGATATACTGAATGCACATCTTCATTTTAACAAGATCCCGGATGACTCCTATCAACATAAAAAGTTGAGAAACACCTCTAGTCTAGTGGATGCGTTGTACCATAAAAGCGACCTAGTCCATTTTCAGGCAAGGGGGAAGGTAGGTCTGAGCTTTCTTGATCCCAGACATTGCATTTGTATAGAATGCATTCAAAGATCCATTGAGTGCTAAAATTGGTAGAGAAATAGACAGCATCCTAATCCACTCTTAATTTTCAGACGAGGAAACAGACCCCAACTGGGAAAATAACTTATCAAAGATTATCATGGAGAATTCAGTTTAGACCTGACTTTTTTTTTTTTTTTTTTAAGATGGAGTTTCGTCTCTTGTTACCCAGGCTGGAGTGCAGTGGCACGATCTCGACTCACCGCAGCCTCCGCCTCCTGGGTTCAGGCAATTAATTCTCCTGCCTCAGCCTCCTGAGTAGCTGAGATTACAGGCATGCGCCACCGTGCCCAGCTAATTTTTGTATTTTCAGTAGAGACGGGGTTTCACCAAGTTGACCAGGATGGTCTTGATCTCTTGATCTCGTGATCCACCTGCCTTGGCCTCCCAGAGTGCTGGGATTACAGGTGTGAGCCGCCGCGCCCGGCCTGGACCTGACTTCTTAATAGTACTTATTGTACTATTTTATCATTACTCCTCCGGTACTAATTTATTCTGTCCTTCAAAAACATCAATAGCTTTATTTAGCATCTATACCACCATGTCAGCCCTGGTCTAACCACAAGCCATTCTGCGTTTGGGGCCCAAAGAGCAACTCTAGATGTCCTTGGAACCATCTTTTTAGGCCACAATTTTTATGCCTTTCCCCATATGAGCGCTGAATTGTTAAATTGTGAGACACAGAAGTTAAGTGACTTGGCCAAGGTTACCCAGCCTGTTAGTGGAAGTGCTGGAACTGGAATTCTGGATAGTGAGGGCTACGGAGCTGGTTTAGTAAAATACGGCCTACGTTCCATGAAATGAAATAGCAGCTGAGCTCTTGCCTACTGTGAAATGTAAAAGTTACCTGTGGAGTTTGAAATGATACATGCAACTCCCATACGATGAAGGCAAACGAATTAGTATTAGGCACTCTAATGAAGCATAGTGAAATTGATGTGCTTTTACATCTGACAGCATAGCGTAGGGCAATATGTTATGTAACCAGTTGTAAATAAGCAAAACCATCACTAACTCTATTAATAATTGATTGTTGATATGTGTACTCTTCTGTTAACATTCTTAAAAATTCTAAGAATTACCATTTAACACAATGTTACCAGTTCAGATGCTTCCTCTACAGCAGGGATTAGCAAAATATTATAGCCTGGCCTTTAAACCAACACCAGCGTGTCATCTGTCCTTGTACAGCCCACAACCTAAGATGGTTTTTACATTCTTTTTTAAGGATTGAAAAAAAGCCAAAAGAGGACTATATGGTGACGTTCAAATTATGTAAAGTTCAAATTTCAGTATTCATAGTTAAAAAAAATTATACATTTATTGCATGAGTAATGGTGGGAATTCGTAAGATGAACTGGACGTCGCAACAGCTGCCCTCTTAGGTTGAGGTGTTGTTCCTTCATGGAATCCATGCCTGAATCTGCGGTATACAATCTTGAGGTGCCTCACGTGACCAGTCCCGGTGATATTTTGTCTTTCAGCCTCGGCACTCCAGTTATACTTTCTCTTGCGTTTGGCGGGGTGGCCACATTTGCCACGGGTCCACGTCTGAAGGTGGTAGGCCTCAGAGCCACAGCGGTGGCACAGTGTGTGCATCTTACCGTGACGCTTTCCAAATGATGACTTTTTCTTCGTCTTCTCGCTTCTGTGGCCAAGACTAGAGAGATTCATAAAGTATTATTGGAACACAGCTATGCTTATTTGTTTACCTGTTTTCTTGACTGCTTTCCGGCTGTAGTGGTAGAGTTGAGTAGTTGCAGCAAAGAACTTATGGACTACAAGGCCCAAAACATTTCTGTTTGGCCCTTAACAGAAAAGTGTGCCACTTCTGCTCTACAAGATAGGTCCATTCAAATTGGTTGCTAATTGGCTTAAACACTGGGGAAAACATTATCTTACAAAACAAATCCGGAATATAAGGCAGGCTCCATTCCAATTTGGTCAGTGTCTCAACTGTGAGTGTCACAGGGATGTAAGGTCTTTTTTGATTGCTCTAAGTTGCCATCTTCGGGATGTTGTCTCAGCCCGCGGCCCAGCTCCCTGTATGTATGGATTTCAGATAGCTGTAACGGTTTTAGCACAACATCCAGAGGAAGACTGTCTTTCTTCCTTTGGTTCTCTCAGAAACTGAATCTTTCTGGGAACCCCCTTTTCCCTACCCTTCCAAAAGCAGCCATGTTCTACAGCCGGAATTGTGTTCAATGCCTAATTGTAAACCAGTCACTAGCAAAAGGACTGGCATTACCATTACTAATGCCACTCATCTAATCCAAAGGTATTTTAAAAATTAATATTTTTAGTAGAAAACATAAAAGTAGAGAGATACCCCAGCCCCAAATTGTTTTTAAATAAATCCCAGATTTCATCTAGAGACAGGGTCTTGCTGTTGCCCAGGCTGGAGTGTAACTTGGAACTGTAACTTGGAACTCAGGTTCAAGTGATCCTTCTGCCTCCGCCTTACAAGTTGCTGGAGCTGCAGACACACGCCACTATGTACAGCTAATTTGTGTATCTTTTGTGAAGGTGGGGTTGCACTGTATTGCCCAGGCTGGTCTGGAACTCGTGGACTCAAGCAATCCTCTTGCTTCAGCCTCCCAAAGTCCTGGGATTACCTGCATGAGCCACCACACCCGGCCTAATTTCAATTGTATTTCACTCTAACTCTAAAAGATAAATATTCTTTTTAACATAACCACAATATGTTATTGCTCCTAAACAAATTAACATGACTTCTTATCCAAATGTACAATGTTCAGATTTTCCGAATTGCCTTAATTTTTTTTTTTTTTTTTTTTTTTTGAGACAGTCTTGCTCTGTCACCAGGTGCCAGGCTGGAGTGCAGTGGCACGATCTTGGCTCACTGCAACCTCCGCCTCCCAGGTTCAAGCAATTCTCCTGCCTCAGCCTCCTGAGTAGCTGGGACTACAGGCGCGTGCCACCACACCCAGCTAATTTTTTTATTTTTTTAGTAGAGACAGGGTTTCACCATATTGGCCAGGATGGTTTTGATCTCTTGACCTCATGATCCGCCTGGCCCGATTGTCTTAATTTTTTTTAACAGTTAGTTTGAATCTGAATCTAAACAAAGTTCATACAGCTGGTCACCCTGAGTTACATTTCCCCATAGAAAAGGCAGGATAGCTGGGCACCGTGGCTCATACCTATTAATCCCAGCACTTTGGGATTATAGGCTGAGGTAGGTCGGTCTTGAGCGCACAAGTTCAAGACCAGCTTGGGCAACATGGCAAAACCCTATCCCTACAAAAAATTGCCAAAATTACCCAGGTGTGGTGGTGCGCACCAATAGTCCCAGCTACTCGGGAGGCTGAGATGGGAGAATGGCTTGAGCCCAGAAGGCAGAGGTTGCAGTAAACCAAGATGGCACCATTCCACTCCAGCCTAGGTGGACAGGGAAAAATAGATGCTTTTTTTTCCCCTTTACTTGTTTTTAAAAACAAGTTGGTTCCTATACAGAAGAGTTAACTATCATTGCAGGCCTAAAACTGCTGTCCTTAGAAAGGCCTGCCCACAGGATTGGCCCTAAGCTGGCATCCGGGAACTTGGACTTCTCTAAGGTGCTCACCATTCCTACAACTGATAAGGGTGGCTCCCTTTGCCTAACCTGTTTGTACAACTAATTTGGTTTATGCTAAAAACCTGCTTTCCCTCTGGGACTCTGGGATTTGGGCAGAGGACACCTGCATGACCAGCCCCAAATAAGTCTTGGGTACTGCAGTGAACTCCCCTGGTAGATATTTCACATGTGTTGTCACACCTCATTGCTAGGGGAATTAAGCATGCACATCCTACCTGACTCTGCTAGGAGAAGATCCTTCAAGCTTGTGCCTGGTTTCCTCTGGACTTTGCCCCACGTCTATTTTCCCTTTGCTGATTTTGTTTTATATCTCTTTGTTTTAGTAAGTCATAGTCATGCGCATGCTATGCTGATTCCTGAGTCCTAGCAAATCACCAAGCCTGGGGGTGGTTGTGGAGACCTTTTACTCACAGAAATATAACAAAAGGACTGGCCAGGCGTGGTGGCTCACACCTGTAATCCCAGCACTTTGGGAGGCTGACGCAGCCAGATCACTTGAGATCAGGAGTTCCAGACCAGCCTAGCCAACATGGTGAAACCCCGTCTCTAAAAAAAAAGTATAAAAAATTACCCTGGTGTAGTGGTGTGCGCCTGTAATTCTAGCTACTCAGGAGGCTGAGGCAGGAGAATCGCTTGAACCTGGAAGCAGAGGTTGCAGTGAGCCAAGATCACATCACTGCACTCCAGCCTGGGTGACAGAGTGAGACTCTTCTCAAAAAAAAAAAAAAAAAAGGACTGAGAAAAGAAAGGATGAAGTGGATGGAGGTATGGAAAACCTTTGGGGTGGCTGTTAAGTTATCCATGATATGAATAGCAGCTGAGCTGTTGCCTGTTATGGAAGGTAAAAGTTACCTGTTGAGGCCGGGCGCGGTGGCTCACGCCTATAATCCCAGCACTTTGGGAGGCCGAGGCGGGCGGATCACGAGGTCAAGAGATCGAGACCATCCTGGTCAACATGGTGAAACCCTGTCTCTACTAAAAATACAAAAATTACCTGGGCATGGTGGTGCATGCCTGTAGTCCCAGTTACTCGGGAGGCTGAGGCAGGAGAATTGCCTGAACCCAGGAGGCGGAGGTTGCGGTAAGCCGAGATCGCGCCATTGCACTCCAGCCTGGGTAACAACAGGGAAACTCCATCTCAAAAAATAAAAAGTTACCTGTTGAATTTGAAATGAGATTCAACTCCAGGAGAACTGACTCAGTAGATCATCTGGCTACTTTTGGGCAAGCTGGTTAAAGTGAGGGGAAAAAAAGAAGTACAGCCCAGGTATTACCTTCAGTTGTTCTATCCTCCAGGAAGAAAGAAAAAAGGCCCCAAAATTCCCAAAGATGAGCTTTGCTTGGGCCAAAAATGTTAAACATGTATGGTGCTCTTTCCTCACAAGAGCAAAAAAAGGTTGAATCAGTTCTCAGGGCTGGAGCAAAGTAAAAAAGGGCAGGGGACATACTCCAGTTGTTAGCCTACCTGCACGCCTTCACCCCCATTCCAATGAGGGTCTCCCCCATCAACTGTAATATAAAGCCTTTTGCTAAATTTACTGCAAGGGGTTAAATACATCTGCAGTGGGGGGGCAGGGAAGGTGCGGTGGTTAATGACCTTGTATTTTGCAGTTAATACACCTATGGATATATGATAGAAATTGATGTAAAATGTTTTATGGTTGTAATGTCACAGGTGCTAGAGGGGTTATCTCAGTAGGCAGTATTGCAAAGAAAAAGTGTTAGTGGGAAACACTTCCTTGCTTTCTGCTGCTGTAGGATAGATGGAAGTTTAAATCCTTTGTTGAAAACAAAATGTCTCACAGCTGATGATATTTACTATGATTTTTGCCCATTGGAGCCTCTGGAAAAAGGAGCACTTTTAAAAGTTTTTAAAGCAGTTTTTTAAATTGTAAGTGAGCTCATATAAAAATCAGATGTCTGACCCTAGAGGCTGGTGATTCTCTAGCCTGATGTGCATAAATTTGAGTGGGTCTTAGAAAGCACTTGGGAAAGCTTTGGGTTTTGCTTGGCCTTGGAAACATGCTGGCCCTTCAGCATCTCCGCTTAACTGCTGCCAAAGAAAAGTATCTGGCACATCTTGGAATCCTGAATTCATAGATCCTAATTGCTTGGACTCGACACTTGAGCTAAAACTTGACATTATCTGCTATACACTATTTCAGCCGAAGCACAAGCTGTGTTAAACTGAAAGAGATGCAGGCTCAGGGAACAAGACTTGGATCAAGGCAGATTTAGGATACCTGTCTGTGGGGCTCAACACTATAAAAACATGGATGTTGACGGAACCATGTGGATTATCACAGGTATCCATGGAAAGTGCTTCTCTGGTGGGACCATATGAAGTCCAACTGCTGATCTGTTCTGTATTTCTGATACAGGGACTGATTGCATTCCTAACTTGTGATTATTGACAAACGCTACATGTTGAGAGGAAAGCATTATCACTAGGACTGTGACCCCTGTGTCTACCCATCTTACTCTCCACCTCTCCGGGAAGTTTCACTGTGTTTTCTTGGGACTTCCTGGAGTAGCTGCAGTTTGCAACAGTGGACTTACAGTCTGCCTCTACTCCACTACCTTTCTACTGGTGCACACACCTTAGTAAGGCAGTTTGATTACTAAACGCAACTGCCTCCAGAAATGGAATGATGCTATAGGCCACTTACTAAAGGAATGATCAGGACAAAAGGGGTGAGTGGCTCTAAAACCATTTTGAAATATTTTGAAAATTCAGGATTTAATTCTGACCAGTCCCTAAAATGGCATGTCTTTCTGGTTAAGTTACATAAAAATATTTTCCTGTGATGAAAACTTTTGTCCCTCTTTAATACATCCCTTCCAGACAATAGGTCTGACTGAGGGTAGAGGAGAATTTTTTAAATGTGAAGCTATGAGCTGGGTGTGGTGGCTCACGCCTGTAATCCAAGCACTTTGGAGGCCAAGGCGGGCGGATCACCTGAGGTTGGGTGTTCAAGACCAGCCTGACCAGCATGATGAAACCCCGTATTTAGGCCGGGCGCGGTGGCTCATACCTGTAGTCCCAGCACTTTGGGAGGCCGAGGCGGGTGGATCACGAGGTCAAGAGATCAAGACCGTCCTTGTCAACAAGGTGAAACCCTGTCTCTACTAAAAATACAAAACTTAGCTGGGCATGGTGGTGCGTGCCTGTAGTCCCAGCTACTTGGGAGGCTGAGGCAGGAGAATTGCTTGAACCCAGAAGGCAGAGGTTGCGGTAAGCCGAGATTGTGCCATTGCACTCCAGTCTGGGTAACAACAGCGAAACTCCATCTCAAAAAAAAAAGAAACCCTGTATTAAAAAAAACAAAATGTGAAGCTATGACTGCTAAACGGAACATACTGATTTGTAACACCACAAAACAAACCGTGACACCTAGGGAATCAAAGGAGGCAAAGATTGATCATCTTTGTCTTTCAATACTTTTCTCCTCTTCCTAAAGAAAATCTTCACATGCTACATTTTTTTTTTTTTTAAAGGCAATCAGTTATTTAATTAGATTATTAGGACATTTAAAACACCAATTTGTGAGGATAAATTCCATTTGTCAGGGCAAACACAGATCGCAGGTAGCCCTGGAGCTGAGGAATAGCTTTGATTTTTGGTAGAACTTGTGAGTCCACAGCTTTCTGATCAATCTTGCGCTGCTCTGTTATCTCGTATTTCTCTTTTTCTGTGTCGAAGATCTCACCTTCCTGGTGTCTGGGCTTCCGCAGCTTCTTCTTAAAATAAGCATCAGTAAGATGTTTTGGGATTTTTACATTGCTGATATCAATTTTGGTTGAGGTGGCAATGACAAATTTCTGGTGCGTTCTTCGCAGAGGAACTCGATTGAGGACCAGAGGTCCAGTCACAAGTAACAAGCCACTAGCCAGCTGCTTCAGGAAAACCACCCTCTTGCCCCTGTGGCGACCAGTGAGGATGATCAGAATGGTACCGGGGGTAATGCTGGCTCGCAGTTTTCTCACGTGCTGACTAAAGGGTTTTTTGCCGTGGCTCAACAGCTTTCGAGGCACATCTTCAGTAGGATAATACCTAGGCATTTTGCGAAGTTTAACCACCCGGGTGCCGCCGTTTTTGTCACCACCAACTGGTTTTGTAACAGTTGCAAGAACCTTCTCTTTCTTTTTCTTTTCAACCTTGGATTTAGCCGCTGAGTACTTCCTCTTGTACAAGGCTTTTCTGGAATACATGGCAGATCGGGAATACCTGCCAATTCCTCTGACAAGAACAGGATTGCGGCTGCAATGGGGCTTCCCCTTCTTGGGCTTTTTTTTAGCCTTGAGGCTAGCCTTTTTCACTTTGCTACCAGCATCAGCCTTCTTGGCTTCAGGTTTCTTCTCTTTAGTATCCGGCTTCTCAACTTTTTCACCGGCCATCTTGCAAGATGGGACACATGCTACATTTTTAAGATGCTGCAAGCACTTTGAATTCAAACAGGCTGCTGAGCCTGTGCTCATACCTATGAGAGCAGGGAGTGGCCTCAGCTCCTGCACTTCCCACACAGAACACCTACAGATGCCATCCACAGTCGTGAGCCTGACAACCTGATGTCATAGACCAACATGGAGCTAGCCGACTGTATTCAGGTAGTACCACTGAAACAAAGACTCAAAGTAATTTTTCAGGCTGGAGTGGAAACCTGTTTTCCTCTAAACTTTACCCTTAATTCTTTTTCCCTTGCTAATTCTGTTTCATATCCTTTCACTGTGGTAAGTCATACTTGTGAATACAACTATATTCTAAGTCCTGTGAGTCCTCTAACATCATCAAATCTGGAGGTTGAAAAACTGGGTCTTGGGGATCCCTGACACAGTTACCTAGTATTCGCTAAGTGGTTTTTTTCTCCCCATAAAATATTTTTTCTTTTTTGAAAATTTAGCATCATTAATTTCTCCTCCCCAGATTTAAAAGTATTTTATATGTTTCAGATCAATGTAATGACTGTTTTGTCCCATCTTTGATGCATGGGAGCCTCTTCAAGTTGGCTCCTAAGTCTTTTGATTTATCCCTAACAATCTTCTACAGCCTTTTGTTTCTGGTAGGACAAGATATTCCAGACTCATCCTCAGAACTGTTTCCTTCTACTAGCAGATATTTAGAAACTTTAATCTGGGCATTAAGGTTGCTCACTACTACTGAATTGATGATTGTTTCAAGCTTGGTTTTTTCTTTCCCCAGTAGACAAAGCTAGGACTTTTTTTTACAGGTTCACAGTAATATCTACAATAAATTTGGGCTACAGGATTTTGATTTAACCTCATCAATGATGTACGTACATTTTGTGTATCCCAGGTCAAAAATCTAAGTTCTATGCAATGAGAAACATAATTGCTCATTTGTTTTACTCCTCTGTACCTAAAACAGCTGTAGAATAATAGTGTTACCATAATCACCACCAATATGAGTATTAGAAATTTAAAGTTTTTTGTAGTTCTTTCATCTTTAGGTTGTAACTTAATAGATACAGTTAAATTAATGTGTTTTAGAGTTAATTGGAATTTATTTCTGTGGGGTTATGATATTTAGCTGAGGAGATTTCCAAGCACAGTATAGAAGGTACAGCCTACTTTCTTCTTGTTGCTTATAGTAAAATATGAGAACAATAAATTGAGGGAAGAACTATTAAAGCACAAAAAGGAATCAACATTTAATATTAAGGAAATGTCTCAGCCTATCCAGATTGCAAAAGGTGCTGAAATTGGGAGCTTCACTATTAGGAAAGGATGCTACAGAGAGAAAGCCACAGTTATGACTAGGCCACCTTTTTTTTCTTTAACTGCTGAAGAAATTAAATCAGTGATTTGTGGATCCTCTCAACCATCTCAACAGAAACCAAGAATGGAGACAGGATTATTCAGAAAAGATCGTGGAAGAACATCTTTTCTAATGGATTCAATCCCATGACATACACAAGAGAGCCACAGTGGTTTCTTCTTTTTCTTCCTCCTCCCCCTTCTCCTCCTCCTCCTCCTCCTCTCCCTCCTCCCCTTCCTCCTCCTCCCTCCTCCCTCCCTCCCACACACACACACAATGTTTTGAGAATTCCCTATTAGCAGAAATACTGCCAGCTTAGACAGAAAGGGGACAAAATTAAAGAAGGCACTTGGACTGTCAAAATTCTGTAGGCAGTTAATAGGCTGGAGAAAAAGGATGACTCAAAGGTTAGAATCTCCAGAGGGCAGAGCCAAGGGCCACAGAAGATTATTCCCAGGCTTCGAAACCTAATGGAGGTTGCCTTATTGGATTCCACAATTGCTTGGGACTAATAGCTCCCTTTTTACTTCCATTTTCTCCCTTTTGGAATGGGAATGTCTGTAATTTTATTCTCTTCCTGTTCCACTGTTATATTTCAAGAGCATCCTGTATACACTTTTCTCCACTTTGCTTTCCTCACTAATGGTATATCCTGGAGTGCACTCTGTAGCAGTGTGTAGAAATAGTCCTCCTTTTTTTTGCTGAATAGTCTTCCTTGTGTGGATGTACCATAATTTATTCAACCTATTAATAGCACTTGGTTATTTTTAATCTTTTGCTATTACAAAAAGTGTAATAACCCTGTACATACATTTTTGTTTTTGTCACTGTATCTGTATGCTTGATTTTCTAGAAGAGGTATTACTGGATTGGAGCTTAAATGCAAAATCCATTTTGCTATATAAACCAAATACTATTTGATCACTAGCCACTGTAAAAAAACATTTTACCTTGTAACCCAGTTTATACACACACAGGCACGTAACTTAAGACATGTCATAGTTACCTCACTACCTACAATCTATTTTATTTTAAAAATTTAGGTAGCAATGCTAAATGACCTACTAATGGGTCATGACTCTAAGTTTTAAAAACATTGGCTTGACCAAGCATGGTGGCTCACACCTGTAATCCCAGCATTTTGGGAGGCTGAGGCAGGTGTATCACCTGAGGTCAGGAGTTAAAGACCAGTCTGGCCAACATGCCAACCAGTCAACCCCATCTCTACTAAAAATACAAAAATTAGCTGGGCACGGTGGCACGCACCTGTAATCCCAGCTACTCAGGAGGCCGAGGCAAGAGAATCGCTTGAACCTGGGAGGCGGAGGTTGCAGTGAGCCGGGATCACGCCATTGCACTCCAGCCTGGGTGACAGAGTGAGACACTGTCTCAAAAAAAAAAAAAAAAAAAAAAAAGTAAATAAACAAAATAAAATTGGGCTTGACCAAGGATTGGTACACTTTTATTTGAAAGAGCCAGATAATAAATATTTTAGGCTTGTGAATTACTCATAGTCCTAACTCTGCCTCTGCCACTGTAGCTGAAGAGGCATAGAAAATGCATAAACAAATAGACACAGCTATGTTTCAGTAAAACTTCTACAAAACCAGGTGGCTATAAATAGAACTCTGTTTGGTCGGGCGCGGTGGCTCACGCCTATAATCCCAGCACTTTCGGATCACACGGTCAAGAGATTGAGACCATCCTGGTCAACATGGTGAAACCCCGTCTCTACTAAAAATACAAAAATTAGCTGGGCATGGTGGCGTGTGCCTGTAATCCCAGCCACTCAGGAGGCTGAGGCAGGAGAATTGCTTGAACCCAGGAGGTGGAGGTTGCCGTGAGCCGAGATTGTGCCATTACACTCCAGCCTGGGTAACGAGCGAAACTCCGTCTCAAAAAAAAAAAAAAAAACCACCTCTGTTTTAGGCTAATCAGGCCTCACCTGTATCAAATGGATATATGGAGGAGGATAGATTACTGAATGAAATGAGGACTTGGAAAGGAGAATGAGGGACATGGCTCTTGAATAGGCACCAGTGGCTATCACATTAACCTAAATATTGTCAGTCACAACTTATATGCTTAACCTCTAAATATGTCTCAGGTATAAAATATAATGTAATATTTGTTTTCCAGTGCCTTTTTTTTTTTTTTTTTTTTGGAAACAGAGTCTTGCTCTGTCACCCAGGCTGGAGTATAGTGGCATGATCTCGGTTCACTGCAACCTCTGCCTCCTGGGTTCAAGCCATTCTCCTGCCTCAGCTTCCTGAGTAGCTGTGATTACACGTGTGTGCCACCACTCACCACACCTGGCTAATTTTTGTATTTTTGGTAGAGACTGGGTTTCACTATTTTGGTCAGGCTGGTCTCGAGCTCCTGACCTCAAGTGATCCACCTGCCTCGGCCTCCCAAAATGCTGGGGTTACAAGTGTGAGTCACCATGCCCAGCCTGTTTGCCAGCATTTTTACGAGTAGACAGTTGAGAATGGTATCGTATGAAGTCATTGCTCAGCTGTCTCCCAGATCTAGTTGATGTACACTTTTTTTCTTCTTTTTTCTTTTTGAGACGGAGTGTTGCTCTGTCGCCAGGCTGCAGGGCAGTGGCCTGAGTGACCTGATCTCAGCTCACGGCAACCTCCGCCTCCCGGGTTCAAGCGATTCTTCTGCCTTAGCCTCCCAAGTAGCTGGGACTATAGGCGTGTGCCACCACTCCTGGATAATTTTGGCATTTTTAGTAGAGACGGAGTTTTGCCGTATTGGCCAGGCTGGTCCCAAATGCTGGAATTACAGGTGTGAGCTACCATGCCTGGCCGATGTACATGTTCCTTTTTATTTTTGATGTGAAATCTCACTCTGTCATCCAGACGGTAGTGCAGTAACAGTCTTCACTCTGCAGCTTCAGCCTCCTGGGCCCAAGCAATCCCCCTGCCTTAGCCTCCCAAGTAGCTGAAACTACAGGTGCACGCACTCAGGTACACCCACACCCACCCACCCACACACATACACACACAGCATGAGCCACCGTGTACTCCCAGGCACTGTGATAGGTGCTTGGTAATCAAAAGTGTAGTAATGTTACCTTCCCTCAAGTGAGACCAACTCACTTTCTGTATAGTTAAGGCAAAGTCATACTATTTAAAATAAATATAACTAGGGAGAAAAGGTATATGTTGTATAATTATAGGTGGCAGCTTATTAACATTTAGTGAATTTTTAGATATAGGGTACTTTGAAACCTCTTTCCAAAGTTACCTAAGATACACAAGTATCTAAGATGGTACTTTGAGATCACATGATCATAATCTTTGGTACAGTTGGAGGCAGAAACAATAGAGTGGCAGTGGGGCAGGTACGGAAGCCCGGTCCATTGTCTGCACAAGAGAAAGGATAATAAAGAATGAAGTTAAGGTCATAAAAGACCCAGTTCTTACTATTTG